ATTCCCGAGTGTAGCTCGGGGTAAAATGTCAGTGCCAAAAGCGGTAACCCCGAGCTACACTCGGGCTTACCATGCGGCGCTGCATAGGGAGTCCCTGCAGAGCTTACCTTGTCCTTCGCTCCTGCGATGTGTCCCCTGCAGTGTCCCCGGCCATCTCCTCCGGCCGATGCCGGCATCCGGCTTCTGTGTTCCGGTCCCTGTGACGTCGGGACGTACGGGCGGCGGGAAATTTGAAAAATTTTAAAAAACTTCATTTTTTTCCAAACAAATTTTACATAGCAAAACATTGCTGTTTCAACCCGTTTCACATACATTTTGTCCCTAGTGCTTTGTCCTGTGCCCTGCCTGCATTTTGTCTGTTCTTTCTGCCTGGAAACTGAGAGATGTCCATGGCGTCCAAAAAGTGTCCCTTTAGGTCAAAAGCGGGTTTAGATCAGCTAGAGAACAGCGATAGTAAATCAGAACCACTTGCAGAATTGAGTGATGATTCGTGGGGAAATTCGTCATCAGACACTGAAAACGATTTTGCAACTTTGCTCAGTGATGTGCAAACTTGGCGCTATATTTCAAATTTCAGTGTTTTTGGTTTGATTATATTATTGAATTAAATGTATTATATTATTATTTTTTATGATTATTTATTAAATTATAATTTATGATTTAGTGTTTCAAATTTTATCATACCCGGGATGTTTACTAGACTTGGTACGGACAGATTTCAGTGAGTTTTTCCTAAAAATTACAGCCTACAATAAAAAAACGACATAGTTCCATGCAAAATAATGGTACCGCTTTCAGCACCAAAAATCTGAAATAATCAGACCGCTAGGGAGGTTAAACCACGCACACTTTTCAGCACGGCGTGCCACATTTTTATGCCACTCTATACCTAGGACCCACTTTTGATCTTGCACACAATTCCATATGACCTTGAACTGTACTGCACTGCACTTGTTGCAGTTTCCATGTGGGCTGCGATCTCCAATATGATGCAGAGACTTTTATCCCTGAATTTCAGGAGGCACGGCATCCTCAAATGAATGGGCAGTCATGCCCATGCAAAACGCTGCTTGTAAAGTCGCAATAGTGTGAACTTAGCTAAAGCAGTCTACTACATATGCTGTTAATGTTATACAATGTTTCCATGTCCAAGGTTATGAAAATTCTCAGGTCCAGCTGCAATGCAAAATCAAATTATACAAGATTTAACAAAGAAAGCATTATTTTCTTTTGATTCTGAATAAAAATTAAGATGTCATCCAGTAGGTTATAAAATTATTTGTCCTCTGCTTACTTCTTTTGCAGCTTCTTTGCACTTATGAATTGAGATTTCATCTGGTTCTCCTTGATACTCGGGTACTAGACAAACCGCAAAATAAATGATTAATATGACATACAGACATCCCACCAATAATTCTATATATTAGAAAAAGGTACTTACAATCAATCTTTTTTGCCACTAATTTACATGGGAACTTGTCTCCCAGGATCTGGACAACCTGTGTACACAATAAATAAAAAAGATGAATGTAGCCATTATCCGGTTCCCGCCCGGCCAATAGCACAAAGGCGCCCGGCAAAACACCTCGTCCCCCCGAGTGGACGCCATATGGTGTCCTTTCAGGCATGCAGAGGGCGCCAGCCCGCAGGGCCGCTCTGCGGTGCGATCTGTCACCGGCCATGTACCTCGGACACGGCCGATGACAGATCTGTGTACCAGCCGCGTTTCCAGTACCATGTGACCTGCTGTGACCAAGCTTCCTTTCATGCCATCCATTGTATACAAGTGTGCCTAGCTGTGAATGGTCACAGCGATCACATGCACAAGCTGGGCCAATCACAGCCCAGCTGTGTCATGTGATTAGCCATGGCCAAATCACAGCTAAGCACAAAAAACAAAAACCCTGAATGAATCGATGTCATTCAGGTAAATGCTTGCTTATAGCAAAGTAATTCTTTTCTATAAGCAAATTGTGTAAAAAAAAAAAAAAATACTGATCACTTCCCCAAAGTAGTACAATGTTACTATGGTAACATTGTACTACTTTGGTCATAGTGAAATATGAAAAGAGAAAAAAATGTAATAAAAAATTAAAATAATAAAAAATAAATTTAAAAAAATATTTTTTTTTTCTGTACTGTCTCCAGTCAGTGTCCCTGATCACCACCATGCCAGTTATATGATGACGCTATACTGCACTGGTAACAGTCTGAAAAAAAAAGTGAAAATTAATTTTTTCATTTTCCAAAAATTACCAAAAAATTACAACTTCAAAAAACTTGCCATGCCTCTTATGAAATACAACGGACTGTCTACTTTGCAAAAAGTGGTCATTTGGGGGATATCTGTACTGTTCTGACATTCTTGGACATCAAGAAATTAGATTGGCTGTCAGTACTTCAGGATTGATCAATTTTCAGATATATCCCATAGTTTGTGGACTTTATAACTTTCCTACAGACTAAATAATAAATACTGATTTGGGTTACTTTCATCAAAGACATGTAGCAGAATACATCTTGGCCTAAATTTATGAAGAACAATTATTTATTTGCAAACTTTTATAACAGAAACAAAGAAAAGCGTGTTTTTTTTTTTTCAAAATTTAGCAAAAAATAAAAACCCCAGCAGTGATTAAATACCACCAAAAGAAAGCTCTAGTTGTGTGAAGAAAATGATAACATTTTAGTTTGGGTACAGTGTTGTATGACCGTACAATTGTCATTCAAAGTGTGAGAGCGCTGAAGCCTGAAAAATGGCCTGGGCAGGATGGGGGTAAAAGTGCCCAGTACGGAAGCAGTTAAACAGTTGCTCGAACCATAAAAAAGATAGGCGAAAAAAAGATATAAAAAAAAAAAAAAACATATATAAATGTATATATACAGTGCTCAGCATAAATGAGTACACCCCAAAAGATTTATTAGAAAACCTTTCCTTTCAGAATCAACATTTTCTGTGGGACACTATACTACAAAATACTCCCACAAATGCGGGCCATTGATTGCAAACAAAATTTGTTCATTTGCACACGCAAAAAAGTTTTTTTCCTAATTCATTCAAGACCATGTTGCAAAAATGAATATACCCCAAATGAAAGTCTTAGGTGCAAAGCTGAATTTTAGACAACAAAATCCTAACTAGAAAAGCTACAATTTCTGGGGAAATGCCTACACCAGTAGTCTACATTCATTTCTATGGGACCAATTTCACCACAAAAACACCGATATTTTGTGAACCATTCGGCGAAACGTTCCACAAAGTAATAGCACACCAATCGGGAACAATCCGCACGTTTCGGTATACTACGGTCTATGCAGTGTAAAAATTGTGGGAGGAGTTAGGGTGGTAAATTTGGTAAATTACAAGAATTCAACGACAGGTGAGTCTCATCATTCATTAAACAGGAGTCCAGCAGACAGTTGATTATAAAAAGGGCGTTGTGTAAAGAAAACCCCTACCCATTTCATGCTGTCAGCAATGGCACCACATGAAAGAGAAATGTCACAAGGCCTGAGAAAGAAAATGATTTCTTTACACAGCAAAGGTGAAGGCTACAAAAAAGGTTAGCAAAGCTTTACTTATCAATCAGGATACTGTAGCAAAAATTTAACAAAGATGGAACTGCAACCATCTCACAGAGACATCCAGCCCATCCACGGATGTTAACACCTAGACAGGAGCGTCTTCTGATGAGAAAGGTTGAAGAAAATCACCATGCATGTTCACTGCAGTTAGCTAAAGAAATAGAAAGCCAAACTGAGGTGGTTGTTTCCCGTGACACAATGCGGCGTACACTGCAGAGAAATAGCACGCATGGGTGTCATCCACAAAAGGAAACCTCTTCTAAAGGCCATGCACAAAAAAGCCTGCCTAGAATTTGCTAGGGCCCATGCTGAAAAAGAAAAAGACTACTAGGACTCTGTACTCTGGAGTTATGAGACTAAGATAAATGTTTTTGACAACAATGTCTTCAAAAATGTATCGCAAAGTTGAGGAGTAAAAAGTAAAATGCATGGTCCTACAGTGAAATAGTGGTGGCAGCACCCTTCTTTGGAGCTACATGAGTGCTGCTGGTTTTAGGGAGCTGCATTTCATTGATGATATAATTAATTCACAGATGTGCTGCTCTATACTGAAAGAGAAGATACTACTATCACTCCGTACACTTGGTCGTCGTGCACGTTTCCAACATGATCCAAAACACATATCTAAGTCCACTGTTGCTTTTCTGAAGAACAGGGTGAAAGTGATTCAGAAGAGTGGAAGTCTGATCTGAAACAACTGAACACCTATGGGGAATTTTGAGAGAAAAGTTGAGAATCACTCTCCATTCACTACGCCAGGCTCTAAAAGAGGTCGTTCTTGAAGAATGGAAAAAGGTAGATGTTGCAATACATCGCCAACTTGTATTCATTTTTGCATCAACTAATTTGAGTAAAACTGAAGATTTTGTAATCCAAGTTATATTATTAACCTTACTTTCTTTTTATCTTCTGGTGACCAATATGCAAATTAGGGCACACAGATCCTACATGGGTTTTTTTTGCAGTATGTCCTTCAGTAAACCTCCATTTTTTTGTGGAAGCCTAAAAAGTGTGCCCTATAGTAAAGATAAATATTTATGTTTTTCATAGCCATCACTAAACTGCCAACTATCATTTTTGCTATCCAAGTTAAGGATGCCAATGGGTTGTTGCAGAAAATGAGAAACTTTACTTTTGGCACCCTTTTCTCTTTCTATAATTTTTATTAAAAGGTTTTAAAGAAAACAGCAGGTAACTTTAAACAAGTGTAGAAGTGGAGTGTTAGTGACTTACAAATCAGCAGCATTCATACATTGTGTAGGGGAGGTGTTGCAAAAGATAGAACAGTAAGTATACCAAAATACATGGCAATGGTGCTCTAGCGAATTAAAAAAGTAAAAAAACTGAGAACCAATACCTAGGTAAGCTCTAGTACACTTTTCAAGCACTACAAAAACCAACAGTATAAAACAGCATACACAGTGCACCTTAACCACTTCCTATCCAGCCAATGTACATAAACAGCCAGACGGGAGCAGTGCAGGAGCCGGTGGCCATTTATAAAACATCCTCCTGCATTCCCTATCTGTGCGCACTCCCTGGGAGCGCACGGCACCGCGATCCAATGCCCGCTGTGTCCGGAGATCGCTGTACGGGACCTCTGTGTGAGGTCCTGATCATGTGATCACTGATTGGCCAATCAATGATCACATGAATAGTAGTAAGCAAGATGTCAATTCCTGACATCATTGCTTACTAGTGAAATCTTTGAATGATCACAGACATCACATGGTACCAAGGCTATTCACAACAGCCTTGTACCATGTGTCAAGCTGTGACAAATCACAGCTCTCACAGTATTTCTCAAAGGCTGCAAGAATGCAGCCAGAGAGAAGGATAAATGATTGCTTTTACAGCCTTTATGGGTGTAAGAGCAATCAGTGTAAAAAAAAAAAAATCATCACCCCCACAAGTAGTACAGTGTCACTATGGTGACACTCTACTGCTAGGGTGACTGTATGTTAAAAAAAAAAAACAAAAATAATAATACAAAAATAAAATGTAAAAAATTATAATTTTTGGTTATAAACTAATTTGGGTTATTTTTTTTTTACTAAAAAGATAGCTGAATACATTTTGGCCAAGATTTATGAAGAAAGATTATTTATTTGCAAAATTTTATGAGAAAAACAATTTTTTTCAAAATGTTTGGTTTTATTATTTGACTATATGAGCAAATCCTGGATGTCAAAGCAAACCATGCCCTACATATGCTGACTGTGGCACATACACAGCTGGATGAGCACACAAAGTAATTTTGGCAATTTTATTCCAAGGGCAACTGCAAAAAGGAAACCTGTGATCTTAAAGCGGAGTTCCACCCTTTCTTGCAAGTTCCCATGTCCTCAATGGCCCCCGGGTTTACATTCCTGAAGGGATTTTTTTTTTGTGTGTTTCGAAATACCTTTTATGGTATATCCGGGTGGCACTTCCTGTCTCGGCTGCCTAGGCGATGATGTCATTGGGTGATTCCCACGGACTCCTGGGATACTGACGTCATCTATCCCAGGAGTCTTCAGGAAGCCTAAGCCGACTGCACTTGTCTTCCAGGTTATCCTTTGATTGACAGGTTGCCATAACAATGGGATGGGAACTTTTAGGCTCTGTTCACACCAATGAGTTTTTTAATGGTTTTTGCAGAAACGCGCTACAGTCCATTTAACATGGTTTCATAACTATGGAACATGTTCACACGCAGTTATTTACCTGTTAACTGTATTTCCAGGAATCTTCTAGGACAGCTCACTTGAGAGATAGGGCTCCTCCCAGGAAACACCCGCTCCACCTTTTTTTTCCCTTTATAGGCGTCCTCTCTCCCATTGGCCCCCAGTATAAGAATATGACCGAAGGCCTAGGAGAAAACAAAGAAGAAAACCGGTAATAAAGACATCCCCCATAGGTTCGCAACATACCTGCACATAATTGTGTGATCAAACAGTAATCGGGGGGGAGTTACGCTGTCCTAGAAGATTCCTGGAAATACAGTTAACAGGTAAATAACTGCGTTTTCCCGAGTCATCTTCTAGGACAGCTCACTTGAGAGGAGTAGAATAGAAATACGTACATTAGGGCGGGCACCCTGCTTGTAGGACCTTCCTGCCAAATGCCTGGTCCTTGCTGCCGATCAGATCCAGCCTGTAATGCTTAGTGAAGGTGGCGAAACTGGACCACGTTGCGGCTCTGCAGATCTGTCCGGGGGAGGCCCCCCCTTTTTTTCCGCCCAGGAGGCCGCAGTGGCCCTCGTGGAGTGGGCTTTTAGGCCGGGCGGTGGTGACAGGCCTGCCGACTTGTAACCTTCCGAAACTGCCTCCCTGATCCATCTGGCGATGGTGCCCTTGGAGGCACCGTCCCCCTTCCTTGGCCCCTGGAATAGGACGAAAAGCCGGGACGAGTGTCTCCATGTCTTTGTGCGTTCGATGTACGTGATCAAACACCGTCTAACGTCTAACCTGCTATAGTCCTCCGCGCTGCCCGGATCGGCCTCCAGGGAAGGTATTACTATTTCCTGAGATCTATGGAAGTGTGACGCGACCTTAGGTAGGAAGGCCGCGTCCGTGCGGAGGATGATTCTATCCAATAAGATGGTGCAGTACGGCTCGATCACTGAAAGGGCATGCAACTCGCTGACCCTGCGGGCAGAAACTAGTGCCGTGAGGAGGATGGTTTTAAGAGTCAAAGATCTGAGCGAACACTCATCCAGCGGTTCGAAAGGCCCCCGCTGAAAGCTCTTCAGGACTGTGCCCAGGTCCCATGTTGGAAGTTTTGGCAAGGACGGGGCACGGCGCCTGGAGATAGCCTTCAGGAATCTGATTACTAATGGGTCTGCCGCCAACCTCAGCTCGAGAAAGTTCGACAGAGCCGCTACCTGTACTTTGAGGGTATTGGCGGCCAGATTCTTATCCGCCCCGGCTTGAAGGAATTCAAGAACTGTATGCAAAATGGGCGTGCCCGGTGCTTCGTTTCTGACCTTCCAGGCGGAAAACTTCTTCCAGACCTTGTCGTACAAGGCGTTCGTCGACCTCTTCCGGCCATCCAAGAGGGTGGCGACCACTCTTGCCGAGAGCCCCTTTTCCGCTAGCCTGTCCCGCTCAGAAGCCACGCCGCTAAGGACAGCCTTTCTGGATGAGGATGCATCACCCTCCCTGGGTGAGTAAATCGCGTGTGGGTGGTATCATCCAAGGGTCTGCTAAACTGAGCTCCTTCAACCGGGAGAACCAAGATCTCTTGGGCCAGAATGGCGCGATCAGAATAACTTTGGCTTGAGACAACTGGATCTTCTGTATCACCTTCGGCAGTAGTCTGAATGGAGGGAAGGCATAAAGGAGGTCTCCTTCCCACTGCTGGGCTAGCGCATCTATCCCCTCGCTTTTGGGGTCCTTCTGCAGGCAGAAGTACCTTTCCCGCTTTGTGTTCTGGCCGTTGGCAAATAGATCGATAGAGGGGGAGCCCCACCTGGCGCAAATCTGATCGAACGCTGACTGGCTGAGGCACCATTCTGTCTGGATGACCTCTCTTCGGCTCAGCTGATCCGCCAACTGGTTCAGGTCCCCTTTCAGATGTACTGCCGTGATGAACTCCAGGTTTTCCTCCGCCCAGCTCAGGAGGGATCCGGCCAACTCCATCAGCCTTGGGGACCTTGTGCCTCCCTGCCTGTTCAAATACGCCACTGCAGTGGTATTGTCGGAGAGAATCTGGACACCTCTCCCCCTTATCTTTTCCTGAAAGGTCGTAAGTGCCTTGAAAACTGCCAACAGCTCCCTGTAATTTGACGACCTGCTGGAGTCTACTGCTGCACCCCACGTGCCCTGGGCCAGGCCGTCTTCCATATGGGCGCCCCAACCAGTCATGCTTGCATCCGTGGTGATCCGCAGTGGGTTGGCCAGCCTCCAACTTCTTCCTCGTTCCAAGGTGAGGATGCTTCCCCACCACCTTAGCGATTCCTTCACTTCGTGCGTGATGCGGATCCTGGAACTCAGACCTGCTCGGCTGCCGTCCCAGTGGGAAAGGGTGTGATTTTGCAGAACCCTGGAGTGAAGTTGCGCCCATTGCACCCCTGGTATTGCCGCTGTCATCCGCCCGATTATTCTCATCGCGGTCCTGACCGTGCAGGTCGACATCCTCCGGAGGGCCCTTGTGTCCTGCCGCAGGTTGAGGGCTTTTTCTGATGTTAGGTACGATCGGGCCTGTGCGGAGTCCAGGACGTACCCCAAGTACGTAATCCTCTTGGAGGGGGTTAGCTGTGACTTCTCCTTGTTGATAAGCCACCCCAAACTTTCCAGAAAAGATATCGTACGTTCGATGTGCGATCTCAGGCCTCCCTCTGTGTCCGCAAATAAAAGCAGGTCGTCCAAATAGGGGATGATGTTTATCCCTTCCAGTCTCAAAACTCTTAAAGGCTCCGCTAAAATCTTGGTGAATATCCTCGGGGCCGACGACAGGCCGAAGGGGAGTGTGTTGAACTGAAATAGCACCGGACCCTTTTCTCCTTCCAGCGCAAACCTCAGGAATCTCCTGGAATCTTCTCTTATCGGGACATGCAGGTATGCGTCTTGCAGATCTATCGAGGCCATGAACACCCCAGGTGAAAGGAGTTCCTTCACCGTGTATATGGATTCCATACGGAATTTGCTGGGCCTCACGAACTCGTTCACCTTCCGCAGATTCAATATCATCCTGTAAGTACCTGACGGTTTTTTCCTTAGAAAGAAATGGGAGAAGAATCCACTTCCCCTTTCCTCTTCTCTCAACTGGCAGATAACGTTCTGACTGAGCATATCTTGTAGGAGGTCCACCAGCGCATCCGCCATGGCCCTGTCCTTTGGCAGGGGTGTTGCAAAGAATCTCTGAGGGGGGGCCCTTGTGAACTCTATTCTGTACCCCCTGTGGATGGCCTCCAGAATGTAGGTGTTCTGGGTTATCCTTAGCCATTGTGCGTGGAAGCGCCCCAGCCTCGCTCCCACCTGGCCTCTCCAGTCACTTCGGCTGGGTTTTGGGTCTATTCTGGCTGGGGTTGAAAAGGAAACCTCCCCTGCCTCTCGGCTCGTTCCTGCCTCTTCTTGCGCCCCAGCCTGGGCGCTGGGTTTGGAACCTAGCTTCCCTCGACGCGTATCGCCTGGATGGGCGAAACCCCTTCCGTCCAACCTGCCTGCTGGGGACCGGGAAGCTCTTTTTCCTGTCGGCCGACCTTTCCAGGACTGAATTCAGCTCCGGGCCGAAAAGGAGTTTTCCTTCAAACGGCAGGCCACAGAGTTTAGATTTGGAGGCCAGATCCCCCTGCCAAGATTTCAGCCAGATAGCCCTCCTTGCCGTGTTTATGAGCGCTGTAGATCTAGCAGAGAGTCTGATGGTCTCTGCTGATGCGTCCGCGATGAAGGCTACCGCTTTCTCCAGCACCGGAAGGGACTTCAGAATCTCTTCCCCCGGGGTGCCTTGTTCCAGATGCGAACGGAGCTGCCCCAACCACACATCCAGGGTTCTGGACACACAGGTCGTTGCCACTGCAGGTTTAAAATTCACTGCGGACGCTTCCCATGCCCTCTTCAGGAAGGCATCCGCTTTCCGATCCATCGGGTCTTTTAGGGACCCACCGTCTTCAAAGGACAGATCCGTGTCCTTCGAGATCCTCGAGAGAGGGGCGTCTGGCTTTGGGCAAGTCTCCCAAACCGAGGCATCTTCCTCCTTAAAGGGGAAACGTCTCTTGAGGTTCTTGGGAAGGAAAGCCTTCTTCTCTGGCTCTTCCCATTCTCTCCTGATCGTGGACCATAGGGCAGGGTGTACTGGGAATGTACGGCTGCTTTTTGCCTGTAGCCCTGCGTACAGTTGGTCGTGGAGAGAGAGGTCCTGCTGTTCCTCCTCCAGATCCAGGGTCTCATAGATCACCTTTAACAGGTCCTCCGTGTCTTCCACCTGAAAAAGGAACCTGTCTGCCTTTGGGCCCTGAGCCTCAATCTCACCCTCCTCCGAGTCTGAGGTGTCCGACCTCTTCCCAGTCCCTTACCGGCGCTACCAGCTTCCTCTTTTTTCCCCCCCTTGGTGTGCCAGAAGTGCCCGGTTGGGGCTCATCCTGGGCCGGTCCCGGCTTCTGTTCCCTGAAGCTTTGAAATGTCTTGGACATCTCTTGTGTCATATTCTGTAGGAAGTCTTTAAAAAGAGATCCAGACTCCTTCTTGATGAGCTTGTCTATGCACCCCTGGCAGAGCTGCTTCCTCCAGGAGCTCGCCAGTTTCTTCCTACAAGTGGCACACTTCTTTTTCTGCTCACAAGGAGCTTCTTTCTCCCCTCTATCCTCCTCCTGTGGGCCCATCTGGGGACAAGGAGATACACGCGTTCATGCGTTTGTAACAGCAACGCCTCCCCCCCTGTGCCACTGTAAAAGCTCCAGCCGTGGGCCTGGGGGGGGGGGGGGGGGAGAGGGGGGCTGTGTGTGCGTGGGGGGTACCCAATCATCCCGGGGGGGGGGGGGGGGGGGGGGGGGGGGGAGGAGGGGGGTAAAAACAAAAGAGAGTTGCCAAACAAAGGCCCTTACCTTACTGCAGGCCTCCCCCGCTCCTGACAGATCTGCCTCCATGCTGCCGCAGACTCTGCCTCGGTGCGGCGGTTTTTCAGGGGCTGGTGGGCTCCGCCCCCCCCCCCTGCGTTCCCCCCTCGCCGACCCCCCTCTCACGGCCGCCGGTGGAGAAGCGGCCGTGGCACGGGTTCCTTCCACGGTCCCGCCGCCCATTTCCAAGATGGCGGCGGCCGTTCCCTGCTCCTGCGCCGGAAGTGACGACACCCGGCGCCCGGAAGTGACGCGATCGCAGCGTCCAGACCCTCCGCAGCCGAGCCTCCTGGCCATGCTGCTGGGATCCAGGAGCAGGTAAGACTTACCTGAAACCCCGCAGGGAAAGGCACCAATGCCTCGGTCGGCGGAGCGGGCTCTACCCCCCTGGAGAGCCCCGCTGGGACCATCTGGGGCCGACGCCCCCACCCTACAACGGGCATTCCAGAGTGAAACTGGCTGAAAGGTCCCCCCCCTCACAAGGCCCCTGCCTCGCTTGGAGGAAGGGGGGGGGGGGGCCTCAGCCAGGGACCCTCTGTACTCCGCCAGAGAGCCCAGACAAAAATAAAAAACGGGCGTAGCTCCTTCCTGGCCGGAGGAAACACTAAAACTGGGGGCCAATGGGAGAGAGGACGCCTATAAAGGGAAAAAAAGGTGGAGCGGGTGTTTCCTGGGAGGAGCCCTATCTCTCAAGTGAGCTGTCCTAGAAGATGACTCGGGAAATTCCAATACCCTACCCGTGCCGCTGTTGGTGGCTAGAGATGTCAGGCACTGGGTCCCAACCGGCGATTCCTGGCAGGCGATTCCCATCTGGCACTCGGTGATCGTCGGGCAAAGCAAAACAACACAGGTCTCTCTCTCCTGTCAGCATGGACGTGCTGTTTTGTATCTCTCTGCACAGAGATTAGCACTGAACACTGTATTAGTGTCACTGGGGATGTCAGTGGCAGTTAGTCAGTTCCCCCCAGTGTCAGAATGCCTGCCGCAGTCCTGCTATAAGTCGCTGATCACCGCCATTACTAGTAAAAAAAGAAAAAAAACTTCCAGCATATATAACGCCATTTCTAGATGCTATAACTTTCACGTAAATCAATAATTTACATGTATTGGGATTTTTTTTCAGCAAAGACATGTAGCAGGATACAATTTGGCCTAAATTTATGAAGAAATTAATTTTTTTAATTTTTATTTGATGTTTTATAGCAAAAAGTCAAAAATATTATTTTTTTTTATAGCGCAAAAAAATTCAAAAACCACAGAAGTGATCGATACCATCGAAAAAAAAAACTCTATTTGTGGGGGGAAAAAAGGACATGAATTTAATTTATGTACAGCGTTGCATGACCGTGCAATTGTCAGTTAAAGTAACACAGTGCTGTATCGCAATAAATGGCCTGGTCAGGAAGGGGGGGGGGGGTAAATCCTCTGGAGGGCAAGTGATTAAATTTATAATAAAAATTTTATACTATGGAAGCTTCCCTCTCTCTGGTATGCATAGTTAGGGCCCGCATGAAGAAGGATACACACATCTTGGATCGGGAATGACACAGCATCCTTATCACCCATGTTTCTCTGTATAGCACAAGAAAATTGTATTGGACTTTATTGTATGGAGTAGGGTTTTAGTGAAATATTGTTATATGATTTAGGGTATTGTATATTTGAGGTTTCACATTTTGCCTGTATGCTATAGGAGGAAGGTACATTGTAGTGCGGCTTGTTTTGGGGGGCAGTTGCAATGTGGTATTGAACCTTTCTACAACAGGGAATACACATACTTATTGATTACACCAGTATATAAGTGGAGAGAGACTGATGCACCAAGGGGAAGGTGTATTATAATACCCATCTGCACCTATTATTTTATGTTTACTTTGTTTATGTAAATTTCTTTAGAACATTATTGCACATATTAGACTTTCACCAGATTGGAATTTAGGGGCAGCGCTTTACCATTTATTTCAGTTTTATTCTGCTGGAGATTTCGTACTCATGTACACGGGGCTTTTGGAAAACTCTTCTGAATGATGTAAACTGACTGCTGGAAAACGCAGGTTAAAAAACATCAGTTTAGCTGCACACTGCATCAGTTTTTGCACACTGTGTTTAGACAAGTTAATGCGTGTTTGGGTTCAGAAGCGTTTTTAAAAGACAACCTCAGAAGACCTTCCCAAAAGCCCAGAATGCACTGACAAATAGTGAATAATTTACTATTTCAGACATTTTGAGAGGAATAGTAGGAGCAGAAGCAGAGAGAGCAGTATGTGTTGAGATTACCTTTTTTTTCTGGTTGTATTCACTATGGATCCCATCATGAGCATAATGCGCACGTTCTACCATTTTTTCCTTCACACGAAACCTGGAACTGACTGCACTGGTGTACTAGGTCCACTTGAATACATGGAAAACACTTAGCATGCATTCTGATGAAAAAAAGGCTCTGGACAGCATCTGGATATGGAACAGTTAAAAAACGCTTCTAAAAGCGGTTAACCTAGTTTAAAAGCGTTTACACTAGTTTACAAGCGTTTGAAATTCTGGTAAAATCTACTCTTGAATGCAAGTTTGGTGCGTTAAAAAATACGACTGTAAACTCAACTGCCTGTAAATGATGATGTGTACATGGACACATAGGAAAACATTAGGGAGAATTTAGGGGCTGCTGAAAAAAAACGCTGAACAGCTCCTGAATGTCAGCTTTGCAGCTGCAGTGTGCATGAGCCCTTTGAACTTCTTGAAAAAAATAATAAATAAGCAGACTTGCTGGCTCATCTTCAGATGAATATAGAAGAAAGAAAGGCAAAAAAGTAAACTAATGATGCAGCCATTACATCTAAGAATTTTGTAAGCTGCAATATAACAAATGTTTGCTCTTGGGTTTACTACCGCTTTAACCACTTATATACAGCGGCCTGACGGTGGCAGTGTAGGGGCGGGTTGCCGTTCATAAATGACACCCGCCATTTTGGATTGTGCGCGCTCCCTGGGATCACGCGGCACCGTAATCCGGTACCGATCACTGTACAGGACCTCTGTGTGAGGTCCTGATCATGTGATCACTGATTGGCCAATCAGTGATCACATGAATAGGTGTAACCAAGGTGTCACTTCTGACATCATTGCTTACTACGTGTGAAATCTGCGAATGATCACAGAGGTCACATGGTACAAGGATATTCACAACAGCCTTGTACCATGTGACAAGCTGTGACCAATCACAGCTCACACAGTATTTCTCAATGGCTGCAAGAATGCAGCCAGAGAAAAGGAGAAATGATTGCTTTTACAGCCTTTATGGGTGTAAAAGCAATCAGTGTAAAAATAAAAAAAATAAAAAAATCTTCATTACCCCCCCACAAGTAGTACAGTGTCACTATGGTGACACTGTACTGCTAGGGTGACAGTATGTTAAAAAAAAAATAATATAAAAAAATAAAATAAAAATGTAAAAATTTTTTTTTGAAAAATTATAATTTTTGGTTATAAACCAAATTTGGGTTATTTTTACTAAAAAGATAACTGAATAAATTCTGGGCAAGATTTATGAAGATTATTTATTTGCAAAATTTTATATGAAAAACACTTTTTTCAAAATTTTTGGACTTTCATTTATATAGCAAAAAAAAAAAATCCCAGTGCTGAATAAATACCACCAAAATAAAGTTTTAGCTGTCTCAAAAAAATGCTAAAAAATTCATATGGGTACAGTGTCGCATGACCGCGCAATTGTCATTAAAAGTGTGACAGCGCTGAAAGTTGAAAATTGGCCTGGACAGGAAAAGGGTAAGAGTGTCCGGACATGAAGTGGTTACGTTAATGATGTAGTGGTTTTGTTCAGGCCGGGCTGAGATTCAGGTTGAGATTTCCCCTCGCTGCGTCAGGAAACTTAAAGGAAGCAAGTGTATGATCCAAACGCACATGTTTCTGTGTTAAAAATAGTAAACAATGCGTATTCTCTGCTGTGTGTATAAGTGGGTCCTGCAGCGACCGTTGGCAGGAACCGAACAGAATCAGGAAGGGAGAATGTCACCAGCACACAGAGGATCACCAATATGGGTCCAAACGTTTTAATGACCGATCACATAGTTACAGCAAGACAACGTTTCAGAGTCTCGCAGGACCCCTTCATCAGGCATGCGACAAGCCTGCGAGTCCTGCAAGACTCCGAAACGTTGCCTTGCTGTAACTGCGCACCCCCAGCACATATGTCGGTGTCTCACAGAAAGGTCCCGTTCTCCCCTTGCGATCGTGACCTTTTCCAAACCTGGCAGGGTTTTAGGGTCATGTGACCGCCATCATTCGCTGGTACGGCGGTCACATGACCCTAAAACCCTGCCGGCCTCCAGGCGTCTGAAACCCCTTAAAGGGCCGGGAGGCGCCAACGTGAAGAGGTAAAAAAAAATAATCCACGCACATCCACCATTTTATGATCCTGTACTCTATTTTTCATGAAATTGTATTTTACTGTGTTTTTCTGCCTCTTTGAACTCCTCAGACTCTCCTTTTTCCTCACTTCTGCTAGTTTCGAAAAGCGGTTCAAGTTACTTGCGGTCATGTGCACTTCTCTATGCAGTCCCTAGCAAGGCTTGATAAATTTGCTTTGAATCTAGGAGCCAGCTAAAAAAACTTTTTTTTTTAGCGTAGCATGTGTTGTCAGCACTTGGGGCAAGGAAACTTTGGTCAACGAGCTTTATGCGATGTAATTTGCCATGCGTCAATCACAGCAAAACCGCACAACGGTTTAGGCACTATTGAAAATAATGGCACTTGAACCTGCATTTTGTGATCAGAGTGCTTCTGCTATGATCCCAATAAAGCCAGGTATGAACGGAGCTCACACATATGCAATTCTGGATGCATTTGCAAACTCACAGATTTGCATGACAGGCAAGATATTATGTATTCCTATTGAGGTAGTTTACACAGATGCGATCCACACGCATTGTGTCTTGAGTGCCATTATGAAAAAGAGTCCTGTGCACGTTTATAGTGCTGCGTTCAAGACTCACAAGTGATAGAGGAGAGTGGCATGCGGAGATAAGTGTTCACATAGGATTATTATTGACAGGAGTTTTTGAAGGCGGCTTTGCACTATAGTCTAAGGTACGCAGCTTTGCATTGAAGCCTATGGGAGGCAGTGTGCGCACCCAGGTGCCAGGACGCAATTTCTAGTCACCATAGTGAAATGGGATTTGTCGAGCCATGGTCCCTAGTACATATCAGGACCGAGCAAGAGAAGGTGGCTACATTCCTACCTACAGTGGGACCATGGAGAATTAATGTGTCCACCCTCTAATAGGACACTGGATCACACCACTGGACAAAAAAAAAAAAAAAGAAAAATTGCAGATTTGGAGGATACTGAGAACAGCAGAAGGTATTTTTATGGAGTTAAGAATACATACTGGAAAATATTTTTCTATTTTTAAACAAGAATTTATGTCACTTTTAGAAGATAACATAATATAAATATTTTTACCCAGAATTCACACAAACCTTTACTCCGCATTCATACATTTCTCCCACTGAATCCCAATAAAGGCACCCCCTAAGGACCCAATCATGCCAGATACCCTGGGACTGCACTGGCCTCATCCAGCACATTCCCAATTCAAGATACAGCAGAAAGCCTTGTTCTTTATCATACCAGTTCACACCTCTGCATTGTGATGGTGTGAGCTGAAAAAAAAAAAAGAATGGCATGGTGCGACAATCAACCACATCTCACCATGCTACAACAAAGAGAAATTAAAGTAGTAATAAATCCTCAGCGGTTTTAGCAGAACACTCTGAGCACAATAAAAGCCAACCGGCAGACTTACCGATAATGGCATTTCTACGAACCTTCCAGGACGCTTGCCTGAGATGAGAGGCTCCTCCCTACAGGAAAAACCCTCCAGTGTGTAATAAAGTAACTATCGAAACCGGCCCATAAGGGAAATTATTCTACATAGGCACTCACCAATTACTAACTTGGGAGTTTTTTTTTTTTCTCAATAGGGAGGGAAGTAGGTCTGCCGACCTAGAAGGTTCTTAGAAATGCCGTTAACGGTAAGTCTAACGGTTGTTTTTCTCCAATCACCTTTCAGGACGGCACACCTGAGAGGAAAATCAAGTAACCACAGGCCTACCTTGGGGTGGGACCACAGCCTGTAGCACCTTCCAGCCGAAGGCTAAGTCTTGCTGTGACAGCACTTCGATCTGGTAATGTTTCAAGAAGGTGCCTTGACTGGACCATGTGACTGAACTGTGAATCTGTTCCCAGGAGGCGCCCCCCTTTTTCTGCCAAGGATGTGGTCATAGCCCTGGTTGAATGAGCTTTTACCTTTGTTAATGCAGGAAACCATGAACTCTCATAAACTAAGGCAATAGTTTAACAATATATATGTGACTTTTCTATGAGCAAATACATCAAATCAAATGAAATAAAAACCAAAAAATTATATAAAAAAATTATAAAATTATAAAAATTATATAAAATAAAATAATGTCCAAAGTCCCACCGTGTCCAAAAATAAAATCAAAAATCCCAAAAAAATAATCCTCACAAGTGTAAACACAAAACTTAAACTTTTCCTTCTTCTTTCATCACAAAAAACTTCTTAATACCCGCAAATCCTGATATTCGTGTACCTCAAAAAAGAAAAAAAATAACTCGACATAGTGTCATACCTTAAAAATAATAAAACACACGTGCCACTCACTGTGCAGCATGCAAAATAAACGTGTATACTCAAACCAAGTGTCAAAACACATACAAATAAGTGAAATGACAATGTGAGTGAAAGCACATTCACATAGGATATGCAATGCAATGTGTAAAACCACTCCACAAATAACACTGCCAGTGTATAACACAACACCCTATATATAAAAAGGTGATAACCAAAACCCAGATCACCACTCTCCAACTCTAATATGGATGGGTAATTACCCTATAGCAGAAACAGCAGGGCAGATTAACCACTCTGGGTTACACTCTCCTCTTATCGATTTTCTCCAAAGACTAGGGTCACTTCCTCCACTTTCCTCCAGAAAACCAGTCACAAATATAAAAGATATTCTTCTTTATTGGTAACTCACATAACAATTCCGTGGTAACAGCTCCTCCTCACAAGCAGTGTCCACAAGGACAGGTTCAGGGAACCATAAACCGCATGTTCCCACTTCCAAGATGGCCGCGATCGCACTTCCGGTCAACGTCGATGCGTATGACGTCACGTGTCTCTGACGCGTTTCGTCACTTCCTTTGACTTTTTCAGAAGACCCTTCCAGTCACGTGGCCGAAAGATTCTGCTAATGCTAGAACAAGTTTTGGTGTGCACACCCTCTTTCTTCCTGCTTCTTGCAATCCACTAACTGCTGGAACCATGTCAGGGAAGAGAGACAGCAGCCTGGCGGCCTTTCAACAGTGACGGTCACACTCCCGAGACTGGAGCGCTGGTGCCAACTGGCGGCGAACTGTGAGAAGGAGATAAATGGAAATGATGCAGCGCTACTCTAAAGATACAATTATTATATAACTAAAACATACATAGAGGTGAAATTTCGAAAAATTAGAATATCGTGCAAAAGTTCATTTCATGAAAAGTTCATGAAATATATGAGATAGACTCATTACATACAAAGCAAGATAGTTCAAGCCGTGATTTGTAATAACTGTGATGATTATGGCTTACAGCTCATGAATACCCCAAATCCACAATCTCAGAAAATTAGAATATTGTGAAAAGGTGCAATATTCTAGGCTCAAAGTGTCCCGCTCTAATCAGCTAATTAAGCCATAACACCTGCAAAGGGTTCCTGAGCCTTTAAATCTCTGGTTCAGTAGGAATCACAATCATGGGAAAGACTGCTGACCTGACAGTTGTGCAGAAAACCATCACTGACACCCTCCATAAAGAGAGAAAGCCTCAAAAAGTAATTGCAAAAGAAGTTGGATGTTCCCAAAGTGCTGTGTCAAAGCACATTAATAGAAAGTTGTGTGGAAGGGAAAAGTGTGGAAGAAAAAGGTGCACAAGCAGCAGGGATGACCGCAACCTGGAGAAGATTGTCAGGAAAACGCCATTCAAAAGTGTTGGGGACTTTCACAAGGAGTGGACTGAGGCTGCAGTCAGTGCATCAAGAGCCACC